TATAAAACAAGAAATAAGAAATATCTCAGTCTCTTTACATTGGGTACATGAGACATGACAATATTTTAGGTATATTGAGTTAAATAAAATGTTGGATTAACATCACCTGTTTCTTTTTACCTTTTTAATGTGTACACTACACAACTCTAAATTGCTTGTGTGGCTCCCAGTATATTTCTATCAGATGGAGCCGCTCTCGGTCCTTGCTTCTCAAAGTGTGGTCCTTGAATCAGCAGCATCAACATCACTGAAGCCTGACGGAAGTGCTGTATCTCAGGCTTGGTCTCAGGCCTCTTGAATCAAATTCTTCATTTTGCCAGCCCTCCAGGTCACTCATAATGCACGCTCACATTTGAAAAATGCCACTGCAGACCAAGCCAGCAATTTTTTTCTCTAAAGGACCAGATAATAAATATTTTAGCTTTGCAGGCCACATGACTTACCTCACTGCTCCTGTAGTATGAAATGAACTAGAATATGCACGTGAATACCGATTCCACAGTAACCTGCACGGACCTAGGGGGACTGAACAAAGCAAGGCGAACGCGGGAATAAAAGACGAGACAAAAGAGTATATTTTGAAGCAGGGGTCAGGGGGTACCTTGCCTCTAGTGGACAAGGGCCCTGAGCTTTACACAGCCCTCCTTATTTATTCGGCAAAAGAGATAGTGAGAAGTGGGGGTGGAAGAAGGGGTCAGCTGCTCAGTCCAGAGTAGACTTGCAAGACTGCATTCCTCAAACAACAGGCTAAATGTCGCAGTAGACAGCCTCGGCGCCAGGGAGTGATTCCAGCAAACCTTCTGTCGGCAGGAACAGTCGTGAGTTTTGCTCACATCCTGCATTCATGATAAACAGTTTCCTGTTTGATCATATAGCTTCCGGTGGAATGCTGGTTGGTCACATCCCATGGGCCTTCGGCTACCTGCATATCCCCCTTTCTGTTTATGAATTAATTGAAAGAATGTAAGACCAGGCTGGGCAGCTCTCATTCTCTGATTGGCAGTCCATCCGATTTTACAGACTATAAACAGATGACAGAGACAAAGCAACATTATTCCAAGAACCACATATAAGATGTAAATGTGGTGCCTTAGGTAGGTCTAAGGGTTGAGGCTCTCCAGGCCTTGCTGGAATTCGGTCTAGTCTTCAAAAGAAGGCAGAAATTCTTGAGTTTACCTATTTAAATCAAGAATTTTGTAATTCACCAATATCAAAGGTGATGTTGGATGTGAAAGCTCCCTGCAAATGGGCTTTCACAAGGCCCCAAGGCCCCATGGATACTCACTTTGGTTATATTCCAAGTTGGTTACACAAATATGAGTGTGATTAAAATGACAACACAATTGCTGCTGCAACTGCAAGCTTTGTACTTGTTCCCCTAACCATAGAACCGTGGATTTTAATATTGCCACTTCAGTTTGTAACTCAGTGTTAATTTTATTCTGAATTAGCCACACTTGGTTGGCTATGCCTGTCCAGTTCTCCACGTACTGAGCTGTTTGGATAGAATTATGAAAAGCTACAAGAGATATCACAACAGAAGTTAATAGCGTGACCAAGGAAACAGTAGCAAAAATGATCATGCTTAAGGTTCTATGGACACAATGAGTAAGCTGAGTTAGAAGAAGTTTCACAAAATGCAAAGCAGGTGTGGCAGCCCAAGACTTGGACAGATTAATGGGAATCCATAGCCCAGGGATGAGACCTAAAATAATCAAAGTAGAGATATTATGTGTTGGCAATGTGCTATGATCAATGCAGCGATATAACTGGCAAGACTTACAGGTCAACTGGGTATTGTTTACCTGGAGCTGGTCCTTCTTAGCTGCCAAAACGACATAAGGATTAAAAACACAAACTGTAAATTGAGTGATGATAATCTTTACAAATGTAATCTTAGAAGTGTGTCGTGACTCCAGTTGGCCTTCTCTCCACCTTTTCACTGAGGCTCCAGCTGACTCATGGGCTCGTACCAGAGGGACCAGGTCCATGGCTGGCCACCCTGAGTTCCTCCAGTTTCCCATTCCATGGTCGCACGCACCTTGAGGGCACCCACACGGTTTGTCCATCTCATGCAAAAACACAAGCATACCCTCGTCCCCATGTTAGTAAATCCACCAGACCTTTCCATTGTCCTTCTTCCAGGAATTTCCATAACACTTTTGGATAAACCTTCTTCTTTTCCTCTAACACTTACCAATGTCTTTCTGCTGGAGTCTTACCTTCCATACCAGGAGTCAGAAAATTTAAAGTAAATAAGACTAAATGTAGTTTTGATTGAGGTGGTAGTTGGCCTCCTATACCCCCTTTTTGTTTTTTCAACATGCATTGTAATGTTTGATGTGCCCGCTCTATAATGCCTTGTCCTCTAGGATTATAAAGAATTCCTGTCTTACGGGTTATAGCCCAAAGCTGTAAGAAATTTTGAAAAGCATGACTAGTATCAGCAGGTCCATTGTCAGTTTTTAATTGTTTAGGTATCCCCATATAAGCAAATGATGACAGACAATGTCACCATACATGACCAGCTGTCTCACCTGTTTGGCATGTAGCATGCAGCATATAAGTGTCTATGGTCACATAAACATAGCTAAGCTTACCAAAGGTTGCTACGTGTGTAACATCCATTTGCCAGATTTCATTTGGAGCCAAACCTCATGAGTTACAGGTGTGGTTCAAGGGACATGGTGGCAAGTAGGACAAGGACAGGCTTGTATTGTAGCCCTAGGTTGGCTATGAGATAAATGGAACATGCAAGTAAGGGCGGAAGTATTTTGGTGCAGAAGTGCATGAGACGCTTGAGCTCGCTGAAACACAGAACCAATCAGTTTGTCTGCTTTCTCATTACCTAGAGATAGGGGCCCAGGAAGTTGTGTGTGGGAGCGAATATGAGAAATATGAAAAGGAGCTGCATGAGAACCAATAACTTGTTGAAGTCTTAAAAATAAATTAAGCAGCCAGGCACGGTGGCTAACGCCTGTAATCCCAGCACTTTGGGAGGCCGAGGCAGGCGGATCATGCGGTCAGGAGATCGAGACCATCCTGGCTAACATGGTGAAACCCCGTCTTACTGAAAATACAAAAAATTAGCCAGGCATGGTGGCAGGTGCCTGTAGTCCCAGCTACTCGGGAGGCTGAGGCAGAAGGCTGGCATGAACCCAGGAGGCGGAGCTTGCAGTGAGCCAAGATCACGCCACTGCACTGACAGAGCAAGACTCCATCTCAAAAATAATTAATTAAACAGTTCTGGGTCTAGTGTACTTTTAATTGTAGCAGTTTCTATGCGACTGGCTACATTTACAACATAAGCTGAATTAGACAATGTTGCCAGAATCTGAGGCTGTGACCTGTAAAACCTGAATGACTGCAATCAGCTCTGAGCATTGAGCTGAAACACCGGAGGTATCTAGCTTCCCCTGTGTTAGAGGCACAACTGTGAGAGCATAAGTGTCTGCTGTTGAGGCCACCCAGTTCGTCGTGCTCTGTCATGAGGGCCCTAGGAGGTGAATATACTTCCTAAGAGCAGAGGACACTTGAGCTCAATAGGGAAGGCTGTGGAGCTTTCAGAGGGGACTGTGCAGGAAAATGTGGTGGGCAGAAGTAACATCACGAAGGCAGGGCCCACAATGTGGAAAAACACAGACACAGTTGTTCAGGCTGGAAGTCAAGTTGAGGAGTCTGCAGGGCCACGCTCCTTCTGAGACCCTGTAGAATCCTTCCTTGCCCCTTGCTGGTTTCTGGCGGTGACCAGCAATCCTCAATGGTCCTTGGCCTGCAGCTGTGTCACTTTCATCTCTGTCTCCATTTTTGTGAGCAGGTGCCTTTTCTGGAAATGTTGGAATAATCCCAGGGAGCAAGCCTACAGCTTTGTGGCGTCCCAGAGCTCCAGCCCTCAGCTGCATCCTCCAAGCCTGTGCCCCAAGTGTGACCCTCCCGGCTGCAGGCAGCCCCTGGGGACGGTCACCTCAGCTGCCACTCACCGCTCTGATGTACAGCAGCCCACCAGGTGGTCTGGCATTTCCCAGCCATACCCCCGCCACTCAGAACTGTGGTGAATAAAATTGTCTCTGTAGCATAGTCTGTACAATGAGACAGTGGCGCTGTTCTACATGCCCCATGGTTTATGATGACGATTGGGTGGACCTTGTGAAGAAGAAAAGCCCTCACGTATGATGATTTAACTGCCTGGTGTCCCCAGGAAGAAGCGAGCATAGACCTGAGGTCCCCCCACCTTTCCTAGGAAGATCTGAGTGAGGTTGCATCTTTCAGTGCCACACCATTAACAGCTGCCAACATTGCTTGTATAAAATAAAGTATATCTAGGCTGGGCACAGTGGCTCACGCTTGTAAACCCAGCACTTTGGGAGGCTGAGGCAGGCAGAGCACTTGAGGCCAGGAGTTCAAGACCAGCTTGGCCAATATAATGAAACCCCACCTCTACTAAAAATACAAAAATTAGCCATGTGTGGGGGCTCGCACCTGTAATCCTAGCTACTCAGGAATCTGAGGCACGATAATCGTTTGAACCTGGGAGGCAGGGGTTGAAGTGAGCCGAGATCACGCCACTATACTCCAGCCTGGGTGACAAAGCAAGGCTCCATCTCAATAAATAAATAAATAAATAAATAAATACAGTGTATCTATCTTGTTAAAAAAAAAAAAAAAGTGAAGCCAGGTGTGGTGGCTCACACCTGTAATCCCAGCACTTTGGGAGGCTGAGGCGGGCAGATCACAAGGTCAAGAGATGGAGACCATCCTAGACAACATGGTGAAACCCCGTCTCTACTAAAAATACAAAAATTAGCCGAGCGTGGTGGCAGGTGCCTGTAATCCCAGCTACTCGGAAGGCTGAGGCGGGAGAATCGCTTGAACCCAGGAGGAGGAGGTTTCAGCGAGCCGAGATCACACCGCTGCACTCCAGCCTGGCAATAGAGCGAGACTCCATCTCAAAAAAGAAAAAAAAAAAAGAAATGAAATGAAATGAAACGAAATATGGAGTCTTATGCAGTTGCACTATCTTTGATCCTCTTGTAGATTTCCAAGAAGAAACAATTTCCACTTCACCTGGGCAAGCTGGTGAGGTCCCATGATGCCACAAGACAGAGCAGAACTCCTAAGGGCAGTGGATATCACTGGTCCCTGGATCCTTCTCCAGAGGTCATAATGGTGTGAGATTCTGTCCATAGGCGTCCTGGGAGACCAGCTGGTCTGTTGGGGGTTTCAAGATAGCCACAGAGAAAACCAACCCAACAACAGGACAAAGCATGATAGACAGTCGCAGCCCTGGGCTTTGTTCTGGATTTCACAGGCTCTTAGTATGACTGGGCTGGAGGAGACCTTCGATCTGTGCAACCTCCTTGGTCTACTGATGAGGAAATGGATGTGTGGGGCAGCAAGAAGGACACTGCGTCACCAAGGAATGTCTGGCCTAAACGAACCACTTCAGGTGCCTGCAGCCGCACCGGAAATGGGGCCCTTTTGGTCTGTCCTTCACAGCTTCCCGTTCCCCTTCTTCTGGCCAATTAGAGAATTGCATTTCCTAGCCATCATGACAGGATCGGGGATACTCAAGCAGGGCCGGCTCTAGGTGCCCCTGGGATCGATGGGGATGCTGGAAAGAGAGGTGCTCTTTCAGTTGGATTTGCTGGGCTGGGATCATGTTAAGTTGGAACTTTCAAGAGCTATCTTCCCTAGACTCATGAAGAAGTTTTTTGCTGGAAGAGAAATGAAACCAACCCAGAGGGAAGCAGAGTTGCTAAAATATTCATGCCCCTGAAGCTGTGCACCAGGCAGCCCTGTCTAGCCATATCATCTGAGTCCCTGGATCCATGCTTAAGTCAGTCCACCCTGGGCCTTCCCCATTTCAGGAGTTCCTTTTGCACTCAGGGAGCTCACGTTGGTGAATTTATGATGCCCACTCGCAACTGAAAACAATGATGACTACAGAGGTCTCCCTGTGATGCAGTCCCGACACTAACTTCCCAGAGTCAGGCCACACTTCACAGGTGAAGGGCACAGTTTCTCTCAAGACTGCCCCCTCTTCAGACATCAGCTGCAGGCTCAGGGGTTCCCAGGCCACCTGCAAGGAGCTGATCAGAGAATTGGACATGATCTGATGAGTATTTTAAAAGAATTACTTGTCTGTGGTCTTGAAAATCAACTGTTGAGGCCAAGGTAGAAGCAACACAATCAGTTGGGGCTACTGCAGTCATCCAAACGGGGGATGATGAGCCAGAAGGTGAGGAGTGGCTGAATTCTGGAGATCCTTTGAAGGCAGAGCCAACAGGATGTGTAACAGATCTGAAGGATTAAAAGTAAGAGAGTCAAACAGCAGGAAAAAATGCCTTCCCCTTCAGGAGAAGTGGACTGGGGCAGGATAAGGAGCATAGATTTGGACATCACACAGTGAAACGTCTCTTGGACACCCAGTGGTGAGGTTAAGCACAGAGTTGGATACAGGAGTCTGGAGGTTTTGGAGAGGCCCTGGTTGGAGACATGCATTTGGGAATTGGTAGCGTTTAGGAAGTATTTAGAGCCAGTAACCTGGATAAGATCACCCAGCCCTGGGCCCTGGAGCCCTGGACATTAAGAAGTCATGGAGAGAAAAGCAAGGAATTCATTACCATTTTAAAAAGGAGAGTTTACCTTCAGGGCAGGGAGGGAATTTTGGGAAGGAGCATGTGGGTTGTGAGGATGTTTTTGGGGTGCCAGTAATATTCTAGTTCTTGAGCTGGTTGGTAATTGTGTGGATATTCGCTGGATATTAGTCCATGATGCTCATATTTATGACTTATGAACTTTTGTGTATGTAGGTTATAGTTCATCATTTTAAAAACTGAGAGAGACCAGGTGCAGTGGCTCATGCCTGTAATCCCAGCACTTTGGGAGGCCAATGCTGGTGGATCACCTGAGGTCAGGAGTTTGAGACCAGCCTGGCCAACATGATAAAACCCCGTCTCTACTAAAAATACAAAAATTAGCCCAGGCATAGTGGCACATGCCTGTAATCCTAGCTACTCAGAAGGCCGAGGCAGGAGAATCGAGAATCACTTAAACCTGGGAGGCAGAGGTTGCAGTGAGCCAAGATTGCACCATTGCACTCCAGCCTGGCCAACAAGAGTAAAACTCCGTCTCAAAAAAAAAAAAAAAAAAGCTGACAGAGAGAAAGAGAGAGGAAATGGGAGAATGGGAATGACCAGAAATGATTTACGTTGAGACACAGGAACCTGCATTTTTATTTTTTAATTTAATTTCGTATTTTTAAAAATGGCTCGGGTATCCTTTAAGGGAAAACAAATCCAATTACCAACATGGAAGGTGTGTGGAAGAAAGGGAAACCATGTTCAAAGACTGATGCTGTATTGGATTGAGGATCCTAGCAACAAAGGGCTGGTCTCCTAGCAACAAAGGAAGGCTGAGGATGGGCCTCTGACTAGACTCAGTGCTGACTGCTGATTCTCCTTGGGTTGCTCCTCTCTTAATAATCACACGTAATAATGATGGAACAATTTTCTCTTGTTAGAGAACATTCACATTTAATTTATTTGGCTTCCTTAACAGCTTTGTGAGATGTGTAGGGGATCTAAAATTATATCTCAATCTACAAAAAAGAACACCAAGATTCAGGGAAAATAGGACAATGCCATTTCTACAGTGGGGAGGAGGCTTTGTTATCTAAGTCAATGCCCCATTTCCTGAGGGGAAATCTAAGACTGGAATCCAAGTTGTCTGATGTCCCTGGAGTTCTCCCCAATGATAAGGCCTGGTCAGTCTGGAAGAAGTGACTCCAGCTGCTCCTGACATATCACCAGCTCTAAAAAATGAGACTCAAAGGGCAAATAAGGTCTTAGTTTTATTTTTAACATAGTTTGACCCAGTGGACCCCCTGAAAGGGTCTTGGTAACTCCCAGTGGTCCCCAACCACACTTTGAGAACAACCGCTGGCCCAGAGCAGAGAGGTAAACTGTGGAGGGGGTGAACAGAGAAGGAAAGTCCCCAGGGTCCCAGTGTTGGCCACAGCCAGCTGTGGCTGGAAGGCTGGGAAGGGAACACCACTCATGTGTTTGTCTCAGTCAGCTCAGTTGCTATGACAAAACACGAGACTGGGCGGCGTCAAGAACAGACATTTCTCATGGTTCTGGAGGCTGTGAAGTTCAAGGTCAAGATGCTGGCCAATTTGGTTCCTGGTTCATAGACCCGTCTTTTCACTGGATCTTTCCTGGCAAAGAGAAAGAGTGATTCCTCTCTCTGCCTCTTCATAGAAAGCCACTAATAAAATCCCAAGAGCCCTTCCTCATGACCTCATCTAACCCTAATTACCTCTCCAAGGCCTCATGTCCAAATAACATCACATTGGGAGTTACCGCTTTAATGTGAATTTCGGAGGGACATAATTCAGTCCAGAGACGTGTTCATCCTGTTTTGGTGCTAATGCTATTGAGGTTTGGGGGCTATTTTTCCTGAACCATGGCTTCCTCTGAACATCTCATCCTCTGCCCACCATGGGTACCTCCTGGAGGTGCAGGGGGCTGGTGGGCAGAGCAGAATTTGCACCTTTCTTACCTCCCCTGTGATGTAGACCTGGGTCTGGGCTCGCAGGAGGCTCATAAATACCAGTGACTGGAACAGAGCAGTCAGGCTATGTCCTCAGCCAACCCTGAGCGCCCTAAGCAGGCACCTCATATGCTTTCTGGGAGACCAGTGAGGCAGTACTGGGCTGCAGCCCGGAGTGTGGGCCTTGCCAAGCGCCAGCCCATCTCTCTGCAGAAAAGCTCCCATTTTTGTCTGGTGCTCCCCCTTCCCTGTTTCAGCTGCATCTTTGAGACAAGGTGGTCAGAGCTGGCAGAAATCAGGTGTCTGGGAATGAGATTTGAATCAGCGTTTTTTCCCCTCTGCATGACTGTGCTAAGTGAACATCTCCCTCCTCTCCCAGCAGGAGACTCTCCATGTGGAGGGGGCAAAAGGGAAGTTAGGGGAAGCAGCAAAATGAGAATATTGGCCCAGCTTGTCTTCAGAATCTGCCACCCCATGTTCCGAGCATAGTTCAAATTGCCAGGGTCCGTCCACTGTAGCCCTACCCTACCTGCCCTATTCCCAGATGTCCTGGGGCTCCTGCAGGAGGGGGGATTAAACTGGCCTCCCTGGTCCGTGACTCTCTCATGTCACCCAGTTCCTACTCCAGTCTGGAATGCTTTGCTCTTCTTTCCAAGTCATTCCTCCTCTCACCTCAATTTCCTCCTCCTGCACATGGGCGCCCCCTCCAGACTCCATGCAGCCCCCACCGCCATCTCTAATCCCTCAGATCTCTGCTTGCTGCAGAATGCCAGGCATTTGCAATGCATCTCACATTGCTTTTTCTTGTTATTGAATATGAGATCGTCTCTCTCAAATCAGAATATAAGAAACCCCTTGAAGACTACATCAAGTGTTATTTATTCCTAGTACCCTCCCTTCCTTCCGAATGTTGTCCTTCTCTCTCCTCCTCCCACTCCCTAAACACACACACACACACACACTCTCACAGACAGGAAGGTATGATGGCATTCTAGATGCTTAGTGGAAAATGATTTGGAGAATGGAAAGACAAGCCACGAACTGGGAGAAAATTTTGCAAAACACCTATCTGAGAAAAGACTTGAGTCCAAAATATACAAAGAACACTTAAAAGTCAACACCCAGTTTTTAAAAATGAACAAAAATACAAAAAATAGCCAGGCATGGTGGTGGGCACCTGTAATCCCAGCTACTCAGGAGGCTGAGGCAGAAAATCGCTTGAACCTGGGAGGCAGAGGTTGCAGTGAGCCACGCTCACACCACTGCACTCCAGCCTGGGTGACAGAGGGAGATTGTGTCTCAAAACAAAAAAAAAAGAGGGGGCAAAAGATCTGAGCAGATACCTCACCAAAGATGTACAGATGGCAGACACAGACATGAAAAGATTCTCCACATCATATGTTATCAGAATTGCAAATTAAAACAACGAGACACCACTAGGCATCTGTTAGAATGGCTAATTCTAATAGATGGCTAAAATCCAGAACACTGACACCACCAAATGCTGACAAAGATGTAGAGTAACAGCAACTCTCATTCACTGCTGGTCAGAATGCAAAACGGTACAGTCATTTCTGAAGACAGTTTAGCAGTTTATTTCTTTTCTTTTTCTTTTTCTTTTTCTTTCTTTTTTTTTTTTTTTTTTTTTGATACGGAGTCCGGCTCTGTCGCCCAGGCTGGAGTGCGGTGGCGCGATCTTGGCTCACTGCAAGCTCTGCCTCCCGCGTTCACGCCATTCTCCTGCCTCAGCCTCCCCAGTAGCTGGGACTACAGGCACCTGCCACCATGCCTGGCTAATTTTTTGTATTTTTAGTAGAGACGGGGTTTCACCATGTTAGCCAGGATGGTCTTGATCTCCTGACCTCGTGATCCGCCCACCTCAGCCTCCCAAAGTGCTACGATTCCAGGCGTGAGCCACCGCGCCGGGCCAGTTTGACAAAATTAGACATACTTTTACAATAAGATCCAGCAACTGTTGTTTGTACTCCTTGATATGTGCCCACAGGAGTTGAAAGCTTAAGTCCACACAAAAACTTATACATGAATATTTATAATAGCTTCATTCCTAATAGCTCAAACTCAGAAACAACCAAAATGTCTTTTAACAGATGAATGGATGAATAAACTGTGGTACATCCCAACAATGGAATATTATTCAGCAATTTGAAGAATGAGGTATCGGCCGGGCATGGTGGCTTATGCCTGTAATCTGAGGCGGATGGATCATTTGAGGTCAGGAGTTCAAGACCAGTGTGGCCAACATGGTGAAACCCCGCTTCTACTAAAAATACAAAAATTAGCAGGGCATGGGGGTGAGCGCCTGTTATCCCAGTACTCATGAGGCTGAGGCAGGAGAATCACTTGAACCCAGGAGGCAGAGTTTGCAGTGAGCTGAGATCGTGCTACTGCTCTTGAGACTCTGTCTCAAAAAAAAAGAAAAGAAAAAGAAAAGAAAAAGAAAAATGAGCTATCAGCCCATAAGCAGGCATGGGATCTTAAATGTATATTACTAAGTGAGACCGGTTGCAGTGGCTTGCTCCTGTAATCACAGCACTTCGGAAGGCTGAGGTGGGAGGATCACTTAAGGCTAGGAGTTTGGAACCAGCCTGGGCAATATAGTGAGACTCTGTCTCTAAAAATAAATAAATAAATAAGTATGTATATTATTAAGTGAAAGAGACCCCTCTTGGAAAGTCTACATACTGTATGACTCCAACTATGGGACACTCTGGAGTTGGCAAAACTAT